AGCATTATGTCCTCTAAATGCACTTTACACTGATTTAGGATTGCTTGTATGCTTTCACCAACGCCCCATCTCCTACCTTGTTCATGCCTAGCATTATTTTAAAACTTTAATTTTGTTGTATTACTGTTATTGTTATTGCTTTTTTGTTTATGAGTTTTATTTTAATTGTTTATTGTTGTTGTTATTCCTTGTATTGATGTATTGTGGGCTCGGCCTCATGTAAGCCGCACCGAGTCTCTTGGGGAGATGGTAGCGGGGTACAAATAAAGTTTTATTATTACTATTGCTGATAAGTACACGAGTTCCAGGACTGGTTCACCTTTCCAACTCAAGGAGTTTACAATATCCTCAGATCTAGAGATATTTTTTCTCTTAATAATCAGAAGAGAAAGCCAAGTCAGCGGCTGCTGTACCTCATGCTGTGTGTTCTTGCCTGGGGCAAAGAGAATGGAAACAATCGGATGACAAATATTGGAGGCATATGGAGGGCAAATGGACTTCTAATGAACGTCCACCACATTTTTAGCAGAAAATAGATCACTTGAGGGATGGCATCCAAATCCTGAGGTCCTTTAAAAGGCAATGGAGACTGGTAGCTAATGATCCAATCTTTTAAAAAAAACTGTGAGAAGTGGGAAAGCAAACAACCCAGACTCTAATAATAAACCTCTGGAAGTAAAGGGCAAGACCTTCTGGGAGAGACATGCAAATCGCCAGAAAAGACTTTGAAGCTGACATCTGAGGACTGGCAACCATTGCAGCCAAAAACAAATAGTTTCAAACGAAAACCTACTGATGGTGACTCTAAACTTTAAAAAAGTTTCTTTTCTTTGGAGATTGAAAATTAAGGGGAGGGCTTTAATCAGTGGGTTAAAGCGCTGAGCTGCTGAGCTTGTTGATCGAAAGGTCGCAGGTTCGATTCCGGGGAGTGGCGTGAGCTTCCGCTGTCAGCCCTAGCTTCTGCCAACCTAGCAGTTCGAAAACATGCAAATGTGAGTAGATCAATAGGTACCGCTCTGGCGGGAAGGTAACAGCGCTCCATGCAGTCATGCCGGCCACATGACCTTGGAGGTTTTTACAGACAACGCTGGCTCTTCGGCTTAGAAATGGAGATGAGCACCACACCCCAGAGTCAGACATGACTGGACTTAATGTCAGGGGACTACCTTTACTTTTTACCTTTCTCAGCCCTTGGGCGACTCAAAGTGGTTAACAATAGCAAAATTCAATGCTCAACATCATAAAAAGAGTTAAAAACAGTTAAAAACAATGATATAATAAACAATCAGTTAAACGTAACTATAACATCTCATTAGCGTCTCATAGGTAGAATCAAGATCCAATCTCATAATTCGTTGTTCCATGTTCCTTTTGTCATTCTAGTCCATGTCCTTTAAACTCTACAAACATCTACAGTCCGAAGGCCTGGTCCCAAAACCATGATTTTAATTTCTTTCTGAAAGCCAGGAGGGAGGGAGCAGATCTTACCTCATTTGGGAGTGTGTTCCACAGGCGAGGGGCCACCGCCGAGAAGGCCCTGTCTCTCGCCCCCACTAGACGCATCTGCGCAATTGACGGGAGCGAGAGCAGGGCCTCCCCAGATGATCTTAGATTATGAGATGGGACGTAGGGGTGGATGCGTTCAGACAAGTAAGCTGGAGCACAAAGCAAGCTGTGGCCTTGCTTCATGTTTCTTTGGAAAATTGAGCATGAAGACAATGCTGCAAGACAATAAATACTGAACATCTGGCAAATAATCTTCGCTCTGCATTGGGATCTTGCAGGTCAAAAGAAAGAACGGGACATATGGAAACGGTATGGGCTGCAAAAAATTAATTTTGAGCATTGAGATGAGAGTCTTTGGGGAAAATGAAGTTTTAGAAAGTCATTTGAAAATAATTCTGTGTCTCCCCACACCTGGGCCAAAAATTTGAAACTGGTGAGGTGGGGTCAGAAAACAAAGGAATTGAAGCTGATACCATCTTGCTCCTCTCCTCAAGTTCCTGGAATTCATCCCAATGCAAAATCTTATATCAGGAACTCTTGAGATTGAGACAGACAGACAGACAGACAATGTTCGTTTGTGGGATTAACATAACTCAAAAATGACTGAACTAATTAACACCAAATTTGGACAGCATACACCTAACAACCCAATGTATGTCCTTCACTCAAAAAAATTGATTTTGTCATTTGGGAGTTGTAGTTGCTGGGATTTATACTTCACCTACAATCAACGAGCATTCTGAACTCCACCAACGATGGAATTGAACCAAACGTGGCATAAGGACCCCCATAAACAACAGAAAACACTAGAAGGGTTTGGTGGGCATTGACCTTGAGTTTGTGAGTTGTAGTTCACCTACATCCAGAGAGCACTGTGGACTCAAACAATCATGGATCTGGACCAAATTTGGCTTGAATACTCAATATGCCCAAATGTGAACACTGGTGGAGTTTGGGGGAAATAGACCTTGACATTTGGGAGTTGTAGCTGCTGGGCTTTATAGTTCACCTACAATCAAAGAGCATTCTGAACTCCACCAAGAATAGAATTGGGCCAAACTTCCCACACAGAACCCCCATGACCAACAGAAAATACTGTGTTCTGATGGTATCTGGCAACCCCTCTGACACCTCCCTCGCACACACACACCCGGGGGGGGGGGCTGACCCCCAGGTTGAGAAATGCTAAGCTACAGGTTGGACCCCCTTGTTTGCATGAGAATTGGCCCACCTGATGCTTTGGCTGCCTGGGATTTGTCGGAGTCTGCTCTCTTCCTCTCTCCTCAGTGAATGACAGACAGGTCCCTCGATGTTATCCTCCTACTCTGTTCTTTCTCTCTCTGTCGGTGGTAACTATTTCATAATTTATCAGTTTATTTTTGTCCCTTTGAAGCTCAGTTATATGTTGAAGATGTCAAGATAAAGCAATTAGTGCTCTCACAAGTCTCTGGACAGCCAACGTTGGCCAGGGAGGCACTCAAAAATGCTTCTGTAATGCAATCCTGTCTCGACAAGAAACCAGCCTGGAAGCCACACCAAATGGCTGAAAATGGCTTTAAAGGAGCATATATATATACTAGCTGTCCCCTGCCACGCGTTGCTGTAGCCCAGTCTGGTGATTTGGAAAATAAAGTAATGAGAAAGTACTGGTTTCTAATATATGTAACGTGTTGATGCTTGTGGGTAAACAGAATTTCTTGTTGTTTCTTTGTCAGTGTTGATGTGGAGATTGTCTGGTTTGCTCACCCTGGAACATGCAACATATAATTGTTCTTCTTTAGGGGTTTCTTTCAAATCTATGATACTATATCTCTCTGTGTGTGAATCATATATATCTATCTATATCTATGGCTGGATGGCTCTTTGTCAGGAGGGCTTTGATTACGTTTTCTTGCCCTGGTGAAGGGAGTTGGACTGGATGGCCTTCAGT